CCGAGTTTTTTGGGTTTAATTAATGTATTGTGGGGAGATCGCCTCGCGGAGACATGACCTCATCACTTTATTCATGGCGTCCTCGATTTTAGAAAACTTGCTGGTTTCGGACAAAGTAATATCAAAACACCTTTAAGAACACAATGTGTCTTCAACGCAGCGAGTCAATCCCGCATCTGGAGGCGGGCTTCAGCTGGTCCCTCAACAATAATGATAACTCCAAAACATATTAATGAACGAAAATTAAAAAAAAACAACACACAAAGCTAACAAAGGTTAAAGGTGCAGAAATGCAGCGGGATTAAACATGTTTTGTGAGTTCTCAACTCTCCCCCTATACCATGATACCCCTAGCAAATGTAGAATAAAAAAACACACAGCAATACGCACAGTAAAACTCAGTTTAATAGAAGTCCGAGTCAAATGTTAGAATAGATAACAGAAGTAAAATAACAATGATCAACATAAATTAACAAAGGACTACAAGTAGTTACTGACATGCCAGCTCCAAACCTCAATTAAACATGTTAAACTGATCGAAAGATTATGTCTTCATCATATGAAAATCAAGCACAATCCCTCTCGTTAGGGGTTTAGTATCATGCCATCATAAATTATACGAGAGCAATATAACACGTATCATATCAACAACTGGATTTAGAATAAATGAGTTTATTTCCGATGTAAAGACCCTATAAATGTATCAATTTTAATTCCAAAAAAATGCCATCTTTAATGACTTGACAACAGTATTGTAACTATATCCCTTCTGAATAAGTCTGTTTAAAGGTTTGATTAGCTTTAGAGGTGAATGACGACATTTTGTGCTTTGTATAGAATATTACCATAAAAGATGGGATGTGAAATACTTGAACGTATAAGATGTCTGCACGTTGATTTATATATACGAATGATGTCTTTGTACCGATGATAAAATTTAGTAAACGTTTTGACAAGTTTGTGATATCGAAAACCCTGGTGTAATAATTTTTCAGTTATACAGAGATTTCTTTCGTTACTAAAAAATCTAAGACTTTGTTACATACACGAGCGAATCGAAAAAGTTGAGATATATGACCATCACAAGATATTGCTAAGGAAACTTCACTATCTAACAAAGGATAATTAACAATAGGAAATGAAAAATCATCTCTTTTATCGTAAATGTTAGTATAATGCTTCCCGTTAAAGATATAGATATCAAGATCCAGGAAAGGGCAGTGTTCATTATTAGTATTAGCTTTCTTTAAAGTAATCTCAATAGGATAACTCTCTTTAGTGTACATGCTAAAACCGTCGTTATTGAGAGCCAATATATCCTTCAAATATCTAAATGTGTTATTATTTGTATCAGATGCTGTTTCGATGGGTCTAGACTGATTGTATTCATAAAATGTAATTTGTAACAACACAGAAACAGGTCCGCAATAAGTATTGCAAAGTAAGTCCCCATTAGAATTCCGAAAACCTGGATGGTTTTGGCTAAACTATTTTTGTCCATTTCAACACATACATAAAAAATTAATAAGACATACTTTATATATTATATACTTTTTTTCTTTCTTCATAAGTATATAATTATCGGGTAATGCCAATCGAGTAATGATGATTAATCGCTTTAATATAAACATTTCTATAATATAATACCCCAATAGGGACTGGGGAATAGAAATATGGTCACTCTTGGTCTTCTTCCGACCAGCAGTAAAACCCTATCAAAGTGGGATAGCGTATGGTTATGTAAGATGTAAAAGTACGCAGTCATGTCCGGTCAAAATGGGGACGTTATATCCGATGCCTTGTGTAAAGAGACAGCCACGCTCTTCAAACGTTAAGAACCCTTGCAACAACTCTTTGAGGGGTCCGTATGTGGCCTGTTACAAGGCAAAAATCCTTAAACTATATACCCTCATTTTCCATGCAGTGGCAGTTCTAATTTGCCCGACCTTCATCCCAGACGGCCTCTATTACAGGACCTACTTATTGTTAATTTGTTTTAATCTGAAGATTTTTGTTATATTTGCCACTGGACGTTAGGCAACCAACAATCATCTATATTTCAGATTCGAAAATGCTCTGCGGGAAGTAAATAGTCGAGCGACTCGTTGTTGGGATTCAAGAGCATTTTTTTGGATGGACAATAGAGAGGATTCTATCTTATTTACTGAACTAAAAAGCGTTGTATATTCAGGTCCATTTGCATTTTTATTAGCTCCAACAAAACCACAAAATACGTTGTCAAGACCTGATCTAGGATCAATTTGTTTTCCTATTGATCCAAAGAGGTTAAAGGCAGTGTTTAGAAAAAAAAAAGATATCACCGGGAAATTCTGATACCAACAGCTCCAGATAGTGATAATGCTAATCTAGAATCAGACCATGCTAATGTTCATGGATGGGTTGGCGGAAATAACGGTCATATGGCAGACGTAGGTTAGTCAAATGGATCCAGTTTCCTGGCTTCATCACTGTTTCGTTTTAGTTATCTTTGAGGAAAATTCAGAGAACGCCAAAAAAATTCATAGATTCAGAAACAACTACCCACCAACGACAATACTTGAGCACATGCGAAATAGTTATTGAAGAACATCCTGCATCTTTTCATATTTGGATAAAATCTTGGAAAAGAACAACCGAGTGTGTTGACAGGATTAGCATGTCCTGCTCTGCATGCAGCACTACCCTCAATGTGAATCTAGATTTTTTAAAATGTCACTATTGGAAATTGGACACAATCCATACAGGTACGGATCAGACGACTTTTCTGACATCTTAAAATCTTAGACCACAAAAAGTAGCAGTCGACCAATTTGTGATTGTGACCCTAAACTAGAGGCTCTCTGTGTCGATCACCTAGGTCTATGTGCATCTTCAACATTGAAGACTAGAATAGAATTCATGTGTTTTTGTTTATCTTGTATAGCTGATAATTAATTCTGTTGAATGTTTCTATCATCTAGCTTTTGCCCAAAACAATCAAAAGGGTAAATGAATTGTCATCTAAGGCTTATTTTTATTTATCTTGTATTGCTGATATTTTTTTCTGTTAATTTCTATCACCTATAGCTTTTGCCAAACACATTCAAAAGGGTAAATAATCCGTCATTTAAGGGTTATCACTCCTATCAAGATTCATGAAAAAACAATTAATCCAAGAGATATTCACTGAAAATTTCGATCATGTTGACTTATTTGTAGATTTTGTCTTTCTGATCATTTTTGCTTATCTTAGTTTCCATCTATCTATCATTTTGGGGATATTAGACAAATACGCATACTAAATACTATTTTTATACACATATGTACATTCACAGTACTACAATCTGTCGATACGTATCTTTTAGCATTGCACAAAGTCATGCTTTTCTCCGACTGTTAATGACGTCTTTACACTAAATTCATTGGATGTTGGATGTGTACTGATTGATATTTTAGTCTTAGATACGTGATTTTTTTTTATTAGATATTGACTTTGAACTTGCTGTTAGTTACTGCGAGTACTCTCAGATCTGTAATTTGTGTCTTTTTTTTGTTTCCAAGGATGTATAAATACCCTGCCACCCCCTATCTGTGTTTTTGTTAGATGTTTCTCTGCTTTGTATCGATCTAATGAGTTTAACCATTTAAGACTGATTTTTATAGTTTGTTATTATGTTGAACTGTTACACCACTGTCCCAGGTTAGGGGGAGGGTTGGCGCCTTCAAATATGTTTAACTCCGCAACATTATTTATGTGCGCGTCCCAAGTCAGTAGTTCAGTAATTGGTTCATGTCTGTCATATTTGTTTTTAATAAATTGTTTTGTTATAAACTAGGCCGTTAGTTTTCTCAATTGAATTTTTCATGTCGGGGCCTTTTAGAGCCGACTGAACGGTATGGTTTTTTTCTTATTGTCGAATGCCTAACGATTGCCTATAATTGCTTACATCCACTTCATTGGAACTTCAGTGGATAGTTGTCTCATTCATTGGCAATCATACCACATCAACCTTTTTGTTATATAAATGAGGGTCTGGATGGCAGGGGGTCCTTCCTTTCTGTACTCGTTCTTTAATTTTTTATGACATTTTTCCCTATTCTTTATAATTTTGGTCCATTATTCTTTTTTCTTTATATTTCAGCACATCATTTTTCTCTATTCTTTATATTATTGTCCATTATTCTCTATTTTTTAAACCCCAATCCACACCCCCATAAACGAGTAAAAAGGTAAAATTCGTCTTTTAAGGGCAAAAACTTCCTTAGAAGACTGATGATTATTTTGACTTAACAATAGACAGTGGGTAGAATTCAACTTTTTTTGCAACATTCTCAATATTTTTGTTCCTGTTAGAGTGTTTCTATTCGTAGCAGTTTCCAAGATAATAAACATTTTACCCCTTTTTCTTCTTTTTTAACTATGTCGGCCATATTGGTTGGTAGGCGGGGGTCATCGGACACATTTTTTAAACTCGATACCTTAATGATGATTGTGGCCAATTTTGGTTAAATATGGCTAGTACATGTAGGTTCAGTGAAGACTTTTGTTCAAGTTAACGGACAACAGACGCCAATTGATGAACAAAGCTCACTCGGCCCTTTAGGAATAATTGTAAGGTGTACATGTCTTCTTAGAAGGGTTCATTTGACCATTAACCTCATTTTATTGTTCATTGGTTAATGTGATGTTTTTGTGATTTGGTTCATTTCTTAAAATACTGTAAGCAGTAGGTCAACTATTATGGTCTAATTGAGTGATTGTAAGTTGTATATGATTGTCTGGCAGGATTGATATGACTTCGATCTCTTTTTCACTAATTTATTGGTCAACATTGATTTTGTTGATTGGGTCTTTTTCTCAGATTCTAGGAAAAAGAGGTCAACTATTTTGTGTAGGGAATGATTGTAATGTGTACATGTCCGTCTGCCAAGATTGATATGACTTTGACCTGATTTTTCATGGATCTTCATAAATCAAGCGAAACATCTCAGTGTGGGCATATTAATTTACTATTTTGTCGGACTGGAACAGGCTAATTTTATTTTAAACATCGATGCTTCAGGTTTTGTAAAACACATTATCTAAAACACTGCAGGAACACATAAACTAAGTTTTTGTTGATTTAAAAAAAATAAATAATAGCTAGTCATTTCTTGTGACAGTCTTCTCTTTATTTGTCTGTGTTTGTCTATGTGATCTTTTAAGTTGCAGCTGAAAAAAAAGAAAAAAAAAACATTTCGTCAAATTATCTCATTCTTTTATAGACACAAGTTCATCTATTTAAAAACAAACATAGATGCAAATAAACTCAATCCCATTATCAAAGAACAATGTTTTTCATCATTTTTTTACTATCAAGGAAGACCGAGACAGTTTTATTTTATGACATATTCCTTTCAAAAGCATAAAATTATTTTATGGAAAATATTTTTTGGCAATTTTTATTGAAAAAAAATCTATCTGTTGATTTTTCTTCTTGTTTGTTTTAACTAATTATGTCTTTTTTGGTTGTTGTTTTGCTTAAGCATACTCGTAACCCCAACTACATAAATGTAGTTATTCAAAGTATGAAAAAAGAAAATATGTGTGGGACAGATTTAAAATGCGCACATATTCTTTTACTTGTACAACAGTAACAACTCATCACTGTTAAGCTACTGACCAAATATGAAGTCCTCTTGTTCATTAGTTCCTGAGAATAGTGTGACAAAATATTTGTGGGACGAACGAACAGACAAGGGGAATGCAATATAGCTCCAACTAAGCCCTTGGAATTATATTGTCACTGAATTATTAAATGCTACAAGCAGGTGACATAACATACGCCGGCCATTTTTCTTTTTACAATGTATACAAGACGGAGAACTCCCTGTTCGCGATTATGTTAAATACAGAAACCAGAGTAAGAGCTCTCTGATCTTGCGTTGTACAATGTCGTAAAGTCTCGACAACTAATAAACCAGAAATCAAAGTTTAAGACGCAACACTCGGCAAAAATCTGCGAAAATATTATTTTTAATAATTTTGAAGTAACCGGCGGTAAAGCAGAAGTATCGGCGGAATTTGCCGGCTGCCGGCTTCAAATGACACCCCTGTCAGACAGACAGACAGACAGACATCTACATTTTTTTGCTATATATTTCATTTAAAAATACATTTTTTCCAAAAAATATTTTCAAGGCATTCATGGTTGGGTTTTTACACAGGTGTTGAAAGACGCAAAATTTTCTTAAGAATACTTGTTTATTGGTCATAGTTTTGTCTTCAGTTGTTTTTGGTTTGTTATTTGAACACATATAATAAATTTTCACAATTTAATTTGGTTGAAATATATAGCATATTTCTGAACAGAAAATTATATGTGTTTATCTCATGATTATATGAAAATGCTCCACAATTTAAATACAACCAAATAAACAAACAAACCTTTGACAATTCCTCTTCTATTGGTACCAAGTTTCTTAAAATCAAACCAGAAATGACCCCAAAATATGTTTTTGAAAAAAAACGTATTAGTTTTATTTGAAATATATAGCGATAAATCCCAATTGACGAATTACTTATGGCCACACCAGATAGCTTGAAGCTGGCACGATTGATTCGATAGACTTCCTCGCTCACGCTCGAAGATATTGACAGATATAATGCCTACCCATGTTAAAATGAACATTGACCATGGCATGAAATGATTATTTCTTAAGTTAACATAAGCTTACGGTTTGTAAATTAAGACAGAGAAATTAAGAATACGTATTGTTTTGTAATAAATTTAAGATTTTTTTATGAAACATTGAAAGAATAATATTTACTAGCATGTATACACAAACTCAAGATGCAAGTAAATCCAAAGATACAATCCCGTTTATTCACCTATGAAGTTTCCCGTTTAAATGATATAAAATGATATAGTCATATGGGTCATTAGTAGAATTAGTCTCGAAATGTAGTGAAAATCGTCATTACTACGAATTGTACACTGATATAAGCCACTGCAGCTTTTTTTTAAAAAATTAAAAAAATTACTTCCGGTTGCAGGTCCAGTTGAAGCAAAAAATCGGATTTTTTTGTGCAAATGACCTTTTTAGAATGCTGTCCCCAGATAAGTTACATCCCGACCGAAGCTTTGTTGTGATTAATATGTTCACTGGGGTCCTCTCTACATGCAGTTTTTGCACCTGATGACCAACTTTGGGGAAAAAAATAAAACAACAAATGTCTTCAAAATATTTTTTTGAAAAAAATGTAGTTTTCTATGAGGTATATATATAGCAAAAAAAGAAAAGAAAGAAAGGCGACGAATACTTCTGGCCATTCAAAGTACTTTTTTTATAAAATATGTAGAGCACGATTATTCATAACTTTAACTTTATTGAAAAAGCGCTTTACGTCAATATGGACCAACGGCTTAAACACATTAGGCCGTTAGTTTTCTCCTTTGAATTGTTTTACATTTGTCATTTCGAGGCCTTTTATAACTGACTATTCGGTATGGGCTTTGCTCATTGTTGAAGGCCGTACGGTGACGTATAGTTGTTAATTTCTGTGTCATCTGGTCTCTTGTGGAGAGTAGTCTCAATGGGCAATCATACCACATCTTTTTCATATATATAGCAATCAATGAAAAATAAACAATACATATACATCTTACAATTATCATATTGTTTTTATCCCTCTCTCTCTATCTATATAATTACACAGTTTGAAAAAATTTCGAGGACTCCTTGCCCTCAGTCTTAGTGACATTTTTTTTATCAAGGATTCTTATTTGTTGGTTACCTGTTTTGTTTCAGGATCAAGAATTTGTTTTAATTTATCAATATGGTTTAAGTTTATAGTAGATTTTCAATACAAAATTCTTTTCTGAATTGTTCATTAATATTGCATTAAAAAAAGAAATGGAATTCGTCATCTTTATAACTTACGTTTTTCACATATGTAACCCATCACGTCTCCTATACATTCACTATCTAACCATGCATCATAGTCATCATACATGGACAATGAAAGACAGTCTTGTCTCCCTTTATAATTATCTGGTTCATCACCCCTTCTTAAGGGTTCATCAGTCCTCCACCAATCTTCGAAAGTGAATGGTTTACCAGTTGATGCCCACACCCAGTGTCCTTCTTTAGCTGAGTCCGTACCACCTAACCAAACAGCTTAAGAAGAAATCGAATTTAGAAAATTATCGTTGATTTTAAGGGGAACAGAACACCATAGGGAGATTACTCTTTAAAAATCAGCTAAACGTTGTGTCAAATACGATTAGAAATAAGAGATCAAGCTTCTGAATGATCAAAATTTAGTCGGTGTCAAACTGCTATATTTCCAATGAAATTATTCCTGTAAATTGTGTGGTTCAAATTTCGTTGATCTTTTATATTTTTGTCAACAGGTCAAAGTAAATATTTTTTTCAAAATATTATGAAAATTAAAAGATCCAAATCTATTTGGGTCAATATCCCTAATGCTCCTCGAAATGAGGAACTCAAAAGTTGTGTGTAAACAAAAAATATCTGTGTAGTGATATTGGACATGTTTCTATTTTTTACAAATGGCTGAGCTTAACCATTTGTGGTGATTATGAAAGTAAAGAACATAGAATAAATGTGTAAAAATTATGGAGCTATTGTTCAATGTATTAAATTTTCAGAGAACTTATTGCGTTAAAAAATGGATTTTTTACCACGAGGAGCCGCATCACGAAAGGATGTTCGGGGTATGCTATTTTACGGAAAAAGTAATCTGACTTCGTACCCCGAAAATTTAACCACATATGTGAAAATGTCACAGCTTTGAAACGAGCTATCATACATATCCAAGTTTACGACATGAACTAAGCTACAGGAAAAAACGTTATCATTACCGCCTATGGAAAAACAATTAAAGATGTTGACCCAAATTACAAGATGATTTTCAGAAGTTTTCAGACTGATTGATGGATGATTGCACCTTGTAGACCAGAGAAAATTGTGAGAATGACGGTTAGTAGTTTTTTATTTGTACCTAACTATCCCAGCTGGTTTTAGATAAACAATGTCGATAAAAATCAGCAAGATTTTCGCTTTTGAAATGCATTACTGGCACGGGGCTGAACACTTCTTATAATCACAATCATTACATTTGTTTACCCCGAGAGATCCGAAAGGCAATAGTTATTTTATACTTGAAAAAGGAATGAACCTTTATAGAAACATTTAATATTATTAAACAGTAAGTAAACATGACACAATAAAGTCTTTGTTATGTAATTATCATTCCGGTCTATAGGAATAACTGATAATCAAGGGAAATAACACACTTCATACGAGTAAAGAGAGATACATCATCACATGTGCTTTTAACCAATAATTTGACCCCTGGTAATTTGAAATTATATGCAAATAAACAGACAAACATGTATTAAAAAAATCATGAACTATTATATTTTAATGCACACTAGCAAATCACAAGATATTGTCTTTTCTCAGTGAAGAAGGGGGAGGGTCAAATCTTTTGAAAACAATAGTGCTGCACCTATTCAACTAGTAAGCTACTACTCATTGCTTCTAATATAAAAGGTTTAAATGAAGGTTGATAAGCCACAAGGGAGAAGCATTTCTCTTTCTTTGTGATAAAACTTTTAAGAATTTGATTTTTTCTCTCTCAATAACACGTATGTATATAAATCAAATGATAACACAGCCTGAGTACATTTTTTGTCTTATTTTAGTTCCAGACATATCATTACTATTTAACCTGAGACGGCAAACTAGAGGTTTTAAAAAGTTCTGAATAATTGGTAAGCATTTTGTTTGATTAGGCAAGCTCTAAATTGTTTATTTATGGTATTTATGCTATTGAAATTACAGTCGGTATGTTAAAAATATGCTGATATAAAACTGTTGCTATGGTCTTGATATGATATAAAAATGCTTAGTTAATGATCTTTTCGACTCCATATTTCGAGTTAAACCTTGCGGCAACTGTTCCTCATGTAACACTGCAAACTATAATTAGCATTATTTTGATCTGTCGTTATTTAATGACGCCATAATACGTGTAATGTCACAATGTTTCCTTTAAAACCTCATGTGCATTTCTCACTGATAAAGGGTTTTCACTGAAATACATGTAAAAAACTATTTTTTTTTCAAATAGAATTATGTAAAAGGACAAGTTTTGAAAATTTGCACTTCATTGCACTCTAATTATATGATAAAAATGACATTCACAGTAGTTTAGAGTGGTTTCTACAGTATAAAATACCAGACAACCACTGGTAAAAATAATTAAGTATTTTGGTGTTTTTTTTATGAAATCTACATTTTGCATACTTTCTCAGTCAAAATGCACTTTTAGGTACCAGAAAGTTTTAACGAATGCTTTAACAGGGTCTGTGTATTGTAATTTAAGGTTATCATCAGATGTTTTGTCCATGATTTGACTAGTGAAGGTATACTGCAAGAAATTAATTATACATACACATTGTATTCAAAATAAATAAATATAGCGATAAAAGTGTCATTGCCTTAAAGTGCTGAAACAACTTTAATTTTTTTTTTCAGAAATGGACAAAAATACACAGATTTATTCAGAAAGTCATACCAATGAAGATCACACAAAAATATTTGGAAAAATCAGAACTATGGATTTCAATATGGGTCAATATCCCTAATGCGCCTCGAAATGAGGTACTCAAAAGTTGTGTGTAAACAAAAAATATCTGTGTAGTGATATTGGACATGTTTCTATTTTTTACAAATGGCTGAGCTTAACCATTTGTGGTGATTATGAAAGTAGAGGAACATAGAATAAATGTGTAAAAACTAAGGAGCTATTAAATGTGTTCAAAGTATTAAATTTTCAAAGAACTTATTGCGTTAAAAATGGGATTTTTACCGCGAGGTCACAGCTTCGAAACGAGCTATCATACATATCCAAGTTTACGATATGGACTGAGCTACAGGAAAAAACGTTACCATTACCGCCTATGGAAAAACAATTAAAGATGTTGACCTTTTTAAGTCAAAGTGTTGTGTACTTAATGAAATACTCTGATGTATACCTCTTTTTCCAATGTGGTGTTTTTCAGTTTTCTTTGTTAAACTTGTCAGTATTTTTGACTTATTGTTAGTTTAATATTTTGTGAATGTAGAATTGTGTAAAATAATTTCTCTAATTCTTAGCCGATTTATCATTTTCCTGACCCGTTGATTTTATTTATTTTTTCGTTTGGTCTAAGTTCTTCATTGGTCAAAATTCAATTATGACGTCATATGTAAGGCTTTCCTCTGAACTTCCTATTAAGACCACCAAAAAAGTCGACCTTGCCTGATGACGTTACATAGACAGAACACATCTTTTTTGAGAACATTGGAAAAGAAAGGATTTATTTTGAGTGCATATGATCTTTTACAAATCATTAGAGAAACAGCTTTCACCATCAAATCTCGGGCAATACGATATTTCTCCACTCTCTACATTTAAATTTCAAATATTTAAAACGCTCGGCCAGTCTCGCGTTTTAAATTTGAAAATTTAACTCTCTCGAGTGGAGAAATATCGTTTCACACTCGATGCAGTGGTAGAATCTATATGAATTGCCAATAAACTACTTGAAATGCTTTAAAGCCAAAAAAGAATCATGAGTAGGTTTCACAAAAAAGCTTACGACTAAGATTGATCGTAAGTATCCTGAATTGTTAATGACTTACGATCAATCTTAGTCGTTACGTAAGTTTTTTGGTGAAACCGACCCCATATCACTAACATCAATTGTGTGATATTAATGCTGCGTTCACACGTAATTCGAATTTGATTCGCATTAACAAATTCGAGTTAGTTTAATTCGTATTCGAAACGGTTTACGTCCGAACATAAAGTTTAATACGAATTGCAATGCGCGTCAAAATCGCTTTACTGTCCGAACGACGTTAACTTTTAATTCGCATTATCAATTAATTAATAATAATTTAAAAAAAAACAACCATTTTAGAGCCCATAACATCTCCAAACTTGCTCTCTTGATATGATATGGCATTTATCATTCACCAACTCTGGGAAATGTATCATAGGGTTCGTCAAAACCTAGACAAAAAGTTATCTACCATTCTAGTATTTTGTGATATATCAAAAGCCTTTGATAGAGTCTGGCATGTATGTCTTATTCAAAAACTACTTTCGTATGGAATATCTGGTAAACTATTAGACTGGGTTAAGGACTATATCAGCAACAGACAGGAAGTTGTTTTTATAAACAATGAAACTTCATATCAGGGCGAAATCAAGGCAGGAGTTCCGCAGGGATCTGTATTGGATCCTCTACTATTTCTTTTATATATTAATGACATTACGAAAACTCCATAACCTAGCCCGTTAAGGCGTTTATTTGCAGACGACACGACACCTCTCTCATATTCTGGTAGCAACTTTCAAACAATTGAAAATTGAGCAAATGTTAAACCACCAGTATTGAATATTTTGTTTAATGGTGAAAATGTTGAAACTGTGAAATGTCACAAGCATTTAGGTGTCACACTTTCATAAGATGGAAACTGGACCAGTCATATAGATAATATTACAAAGTCTGCATTAAAACAAGGAAATTTACTAAGGAAACTAAAATTTACACTTTCCAGAAAAAGCTTATCCAATATCTATGTCACTTATATAAGACCACTACTGGAATATGGATGCGAAGTATGGGATGGGTGTTTTGAATATGAATCTAGAATCTAGAAAAAATACAATTGGAAGCTGCAAGGATAGTAACAGGGCTTACAAAATTTTCAATTTTAGAATCCTTATATTTTGAAACGGGCTGGAAAACTTTAGCAGAAAGGCGTAGACAACGATAATTAATAATTTTCCATCAAATGCATAATAAAGGAGTAGGTTCAATAACTATAGAAATCGGCCTCAAATTTTCATGAAAAATAAACAGCCTTTAAAAACACAAACTGTGTGGTTTTTTATTAGGACCCATCCCACCCTTTCGTAAAATGGTAGTCTTGAATAACTGTCTTGCCTGTGTCCTAATTCAAATCCAAATCAACATATGATCAAAAACGGCAAATATTATCGATTTTTGCCTGTATTACTTCAAATTGCGATATGAGAGCAGCCGACGACAACTCTGAATATTAAACTACACAGTCTCAATAATATTTAATTTAAT